CCCCCCCCGCCCGTGTCGTCTTCCCCCTCCTCTCTCTCTGCCTCTTCGATCCTGGCCCCGCGCCGCTTCGTCGACTTCCGCCACTGACCTCTACCCAATCCTCGTCCTTCCCTCTCTCCCTTCTCTCTCCCGCCCCCCTCTCGCCTCTCCTGGCAGTCGTAACGGGAGTGTGTTTCGTGCCCCCTGTACGATGGACTTGTACCTTGAGGGCAGTGACCGCGACGCACCCGACCATCCCCCGCCCTCGCTCAGCACTTCGAGCCCCGATCAGCAACTGCCGAACCCCACCCAGGCAGCCACTTGCTCCATCCAATCGAGCCTCGGTCTCGACACCGGCTTCTCCCAGGTCCCGCCCCTGTCGTCGGATTTGACGGCCCCGCGCACGCCCATCATGTCCGGGCCCGCGCACGCCGGTCCCCCGCTGTCCCCTCTCAGCATGTCGATGCCGCCCCCGCCGTCGGTCCCCCCTCCGGAGGACGACCTGCTGGAAGAGTCGACCTCCATGATGACCCTGGCGGACTACCTGCAAAGCGGGGCCCTCACCTCGCCCGGGGGTCTCGGCGGTGATGAGGAGGACACCACGACCACCGATGATGATGGTGATGCTGCTGCTGCTGCTGTTGATGGCCATCATCGCCATCAGCCTGACGAGCATGGCCGCCGTGGCGCCGGCACCATCGACGATGAGGATGCACATGCACATGCGGCCGCCGACATGGATGAGGACGGGGATGCCGACAGCCTGCTAGCCAGCACCGGCTCCGTGGACAGCGCGTCCTCCATTTCCCTGCCCCCGCCCATTACGCCGGCATCCATCGCCAAGCGGGGCTCCCGTCGGACGAAGCCCACCACGCGCTCCGTGTCGCCGGTTCTCAGCCCGGCCGACCTGCCGCCCCATCCGCGGCTTGCCCCGGCCAATGCCGCCACCCCGGACGAGGGTGGCTACTCCCCCTCCGGCTCGCCGGCCCTGTCGCCCCTGTATCCCGTCTCGTCCGAGGATGAGGCAGCCCCGGGCGTGATGGAGGAGCCTGACCAGCAGCCGGCCGGCCACGCCGCCGCGGAGGGTGTCCCCCTGTCGTTGCCGATTGTCAATGCCTCGGAGGATGCCCACATGGAGGCCGCCGCCGATGGGCATGCCGACGCCCACCGTCCCTCCTCCCCTCCGGGCGATATCACCTACCAGCCCCTGTCGTCGGCCGCCTCGCCGGATGGTGCCATGCCCACCACTGGCGGCACTTCCCCCGAGGCCGAGGCCGAGGCCGAGGCCGAGGGCGGCCTTCCGCAAACGGCCCAGCCGCGCACGCCGCAGCTTGCCCGGCATGAGCGCTTCGCTTCGAGCTCCTCCCTGACCAGTGGCCTGCCAAGCCCGCTGACCCCGGCCGGGGGGACTTCCTCCCGGCCATCGAGCATGATGTTGAATCTGTCGGCAGAGCTGGGCAACGCCATCGCCGCGGTGGCCATTGCCCGAGCCACTGGCGGCGCCTCGCCCCCGCTGTCTACCAATGCCCTGGCGGCCATGACTTCGCCGATGACCAGCTTCCCGGCCCCCGACCCGGCGCTCATCCTTGTGCCCGGTGTCGAGGACGCCGATGGCTCGGCCAAGCAGTCCGACGAGGCCGAGGCCGACAGCGACTCCGATCTGATGCCGGAGGCGGTTCCCCTGGCGGACGTGGCCCCGGCTGCCTCGCTGGCGGCGAGTGGCGACGAGCCGCAGCCCCATGCAGCCAGCCCGTCGCCCCCCGGCGGCAAGTCCACTTTCAGCCCGGAGTTCAAGGCCACCTCCACCGGGTCGCTGAGTGGCGATGTGCCGGCCCGGCCGCGGCCGACTCGCCCGGCGCCGGTTCCCCCGCCGGAGCTGGCCGCCCAGCGGGCCGCCTCGCTCAGCGACCTGTCCACCATCGGGCCCGGCGCCGCTTCGGCCGGTGGTGGTGGTGGTGCCCCGGGCGTCGATCCGGTTGCCACGTCGATGGAGTCCTTCTCGTCGGCCCTCGCGGCGGACCCCATCCTGGGCTCGGTGACGCCGCGCGGTCCGATCCTGGCGCGCGTCACCCAGCCGGACTCCTCGACCGCCGAGTCGCCCCCGCCCTCGGCCTCGGCCTCGGCCGGCTCCAGCGCCGGGTCGACGGTGTCCTCTTCCTCGTCGTTGGCTTCGCCGACCCCGGTGTCCTCCTCGGCCGCGTCCACGGTGTCCCCCTCGGCCTCGACCGAGTCCGAGCGCTCCTCCTCCTGGATGAATCGCCTGCGTGTGCGTCATGTGCTTCTTTGGCTTGCTCCCTCTCTCCCCCCGCCTCTCGCTCTCTCTCGCTCGCTCTCTCTCTCTCTCTCTCTCTCTCTCGCTCTCTCTCGCTCTCTCGCTCTCTCTCGCTCTCTCGCCTCTTCCTTCCCGGTGTCCTTTCAATCGCTCACAAGTCCATCGCCACCCTGCAGGTCTTCAAGCGTGCCTCCTCGTCGGTCGATAACTCGGTCCACTCGGCTGAGGCCCTGTCGCAGACGCCGTCCCCCAGCGGGTCGGCACATTCCGTCGAGTCGCCACAGAGCACGGTCGGCACCGCGGCCCAGCGTGCCTCGCAGTCGAGCGAAAGTGGCTCCCTCTCGCAGTTGAATCTCCTGCGCCGGGCCCAGTCAGTCCGAACCAAGTCCTCAACGGAGCGTGCGCCGGCCGCGCCGCTGCCTTCTGGTGGCCCACTGACGACCAGTGGTGGCCCGGCCGTTCCGCCGCCCGGCGCGCGTCACCCTGTCGAGCGCGCCAACTCCGACAACACCACCCCTGCCATGCTCTCGGATGTGCGTGTCCCCCATGGTAGCCATTGTGGCTTTTCGATTGCCTCCCTTTGCACACAGAAGCGAGGATCCCATGCGCGCTATTTGGATTTCCCTTCTCTCCTTCTCCCTCCCTCTGTCCCCCCCCTCCTCCCCGGCTGGCCCCGGCATCCCGTTCCCGATCTTCTGACAGTTCCTCCTCTTCTTCTTCTCCTTCCCCTTCCCGCCGGCTCGGCCCGGCACACGCATGGGAATCCGCCTACTTTCACCCTCGCACGTGTGTCCAGTCGGCGAACTTCTCCCAGTCCCTCGGTGATGTGTCGTCTGTGACTTCGGCCGGTGGCCTGCAGCAGTCGCCGGGCACCGGCGATGTGGCTCCCCTGAGGCTGGCCACCTCGACGGAGGACATGCAGTCGGCCACCGAGTCGGAGTCCGCCGCCATGCATGCGGCGGCCACTTCCGCTTCGATGCCCAGCACCCCGACGATTGGGCTGTCAGCCGGATCGTCCACCTCGGCGGCTGAGGCGTCGGCTGCGACGGACGCCGCGGCCCCGGCCTCGGCGCCGGTTACCCCGGCGCCAAGTGCGTCGACCGCGAATGCCGGCGGCGCTGCCGCGGGCGCCGCCGCCGCCGCGGACTTCCCCTTCCATGTGATCAGCCAGGGCATTGACGCTCTGGCAGCGGTGCTCATTCAGAAGGTCTTCCCGGACTTGGTGACCGATGAGCAGAAGAAGGAGCACCGGGCATCGCTGGCCTCGATTTGCCACTTCGCCGAGCTCCTGGTGACCGAGTATAATTACATCACCATCTTGTCGAATGTCAGCGAGAAGATTGTCCAGCCGCTGCGCGAGCAGATTGCCACCGCGGCGCAGACCGGCGTCAAGCCGATCCTCTCGTCCTTCGAAATCCGGACCATCTTCGTGCCGACCATCGACCTGCTGAATGTCAATCGGGCCTTCTACAAGGACCTGATGGACCTGCTGCCGGGGTACCATCAGGATGTGGACATTGGCCAGGTGTTCCTGCGGCACTTCACCGATTCGCCGGAGTACGTGCGGTATATCGACACCTACTCCTCGGCCACGGCGGCCCTGCGCAAGGTGTGGGAGTGTCCCAACTTCACGAACTTCGCCACGAGCCAGATGAAGCGCCATGAGTTTGAGGACTTCATGATTTCCCCGATCCAGCGTGTGCCGCGGTATTCGCTGCTGCTGAATGACATCAACAAGCGCACGCCCGAGGGCCCGATCAAGGACCAGCTGCAGGCGGCCATCGCCTGCATGGCCAAGCTGTCGCATGACATCAATGAGGCCAAGCGTCTGGAGGAATCCACCACTCGCATGTTCGACATCCAGAGCACCATCGAGGGCTGTCCGCCGACCATCCTCTCGGCTCAGCGGCGCTTCGTCACCCAGGGCGACTTCTTCCTGGTCGACTCGTCACACACGCCCCTTGGCTCCATTCGCTTTATCTTCTTCTCGGATCTTGTGCTGATTGCCAAGTGCGTGGCTCTCTCTGTGGCACTCTGATGTGCTGCTTTTCTTTTGGCTGGGGTTGTGCATGTCAGAAGACTAACTCTTTCCTTCTCCCTCTTTCCTCTTGTCTATCTGTCTGTCTGTCTGTCTGTCTGTCTGTCTGTCTGTCTGTCTGTTTCTCTCTCTCTCTCTCTCTCTCTCTCTCTCTTCTTTTCTTGCTCTTCCTCCCTCCCTCCCTTCCCCTCCCTCCCTCCTCCCTCCTCCCTCCTCCCACCAAACACAAGTAAAGCAAAGACCAAAAACTACACTAAACCAGAACAAGCGCAAGTACAAGCTTGAGTACCTGGTCCCCCTCCGGAACATCACCTTGACCAATGTCCACAGCACGGCGGTCACCCGTGGCCCGGTCTTCAAAATCTCCTTCCCCTACAATGCCAGCACCAACTGGAGTGAGCTGGCCGCCAACACGACGGCCGCCGAGCCAGTTGCCGCCACCCCGGCGACCACCTCCTCGGAGCCGGTTTCGATGACCGGCAGCGAGTCCGACCTGTCGACCATCGGATCCTCGAGCGGTGGCTCGCCGCCGGCTTCCATCTCGGCTGGCTCGTCGGCCGCCAGCCGTCGTCTGTCGGCGCATCTGCCGTCGCTCTTCGAGCCTCCGACCGAGGGGACCTCCGGAGCCGTCGGCGCCGGCAGCATGGGCAATGTCACCGGGGGGGCCGTTTCTCGGTCCATCTCGCAGCTGAATGCGGCAGCCCAGCTGGCCGCTGGCAGTGGGCCTGGCTCTCCCCCGCCGGCCGGGGCGCAGTCGTATGCCGCGTCGTTGCGTGGGGTGGAGAGCCTGCAGGCGGGCGGGTCCGCCGGCAGTGGTCCTGGCGGCATTTCCGCGAGGAACTCCATTTCCTCCGGCACCGGGTACTCGACCGCGCCGATCCGGCTGCAGAACCGCTCCGAGCGTTCCTTCCTCCGGACCACCACCAGCGAGGATGCCGGTGGCTCGCTCATGCCGAATGCCTCTTCCGACAACATTCCCCTGGAGGAGGCACTGCTGATGTATGAGCAGGAGAATCGCGCCGCCGCCGCGGCCGAGGTGGCCCGGTCACGGTCCATCGCCTCGCAGCGGTCGGTGTCCGACACGGCGTCCCTGTCCTCGGTGTCCTCGTCGTCCTCCTCCTCGTCGTCCTCCTCGTCGTCCGGTGCCTCGGAGGCCGGGGTCACCCATGTGGAGATCGTCCTCCAGGCCCAGAGCTTCGCCTCGTACAAGACCTTCCGCACGGACATTGACCCGCATCTGAAGACCCTGCCTGCTTCGACTTGAGATGCGTCGCAGGCCGGGGGGGGGGGGGGGGGGGGCGAAGAGGGAGCCGCCCTCCCGGCATATCGGGAAGGTGATGTCACAGGCAAGCGCCGCCAGCGCGCCCAAAGGCAGGACGCAGAGGCGCACACCCAGGGACGAGGCGAAGGCGCGCGCGCGCGCGCGCGACATGGAGAGATGGCGAGGAAAAAAGAAAGCCAGATCACCAGCCGGCACGGTGTGGTGAAGGCCTGGTGCTCTCCCGAAGGGGGCCCCAGGACAGGACGTGGCTCATCGCTCGTCCTCCTCCCTCGGATTGCCGGGCTGCTGGTCCCACTTGGCCAGGAGCTCGAGGAGGAGCAGCGAGCAGGTGTGTATGTGTGTTCGTGTGTCCGGGAAGAAGGCACGCGGACACTGGCACAGGCGCGCAGTGGGCCCTGTCCACCGCTGGGACACGGAGTTTTGTCCGCGGTGTGGGTCAGGACCCATGGGCCTTCCTCCTGCGTCCCTCTTCCGGAGTTATCCTTCTTTTTGCTTTCCTCCCCCCCCCCCCCCCTCCCCTGTCTTTCCCCTTGTGCCGCCTCCTCTGCTTCCTCTCCTTTCCCGCTTCTTCTCCTTTTCTCCTTCCTTCTCCTCTCTTCTTCCCCTGCCCTCCCCCCCCCCTCCGTCGTCCTTCCTCCCTCCTCGCTCGCGCCTCTCTGGGTGCCCTGGCCTGACCGCCAGCCTCCGGGAGGCGGCATCTTCCCACACGCGCACCTCATGTGGTATCTTCCCTTCCCTGCGTGTGCGAGAGTCAATACAACACACCCTGTGGATTTCCGTCGACGCATCGCCCAGGCGGGGTGGGGCGGGGGACATCCGTCCCGCGGCATCTCGGGTGTGGCGCAGGGGTACAGATGCGTGTGTATTTCCTTCTTCCGCTCCTGTCGGAGATATGCAGAATGCCCACGGCCAGGCGACGGTCGGGGGGACAATGAGAAAGCCCCGCACCACCGGGCAGAGTGGCACACTCCTGGGCTCTGCCCTCGGCCAAAGTCTAATCTAGGGAGAGGTGTTCTCGGCCGGCGGGCTGTCGGCACTCTTGTGCTGACTGTCGGCCGGGGCCGCCTGGGTGGGCGTCGAATCGCCGGGGGCCGAGTCACCCGATGCCGGGACGGTGGCAGGCAGGGCGGGCGGCGAAAGCATCTTCCGGAAGGAGAATGCCGAGTAGATGCCTGCAGTGAGGGCCGTCGAAGTGAGGAAGTCAGTCACATGGAGGCCAGGGATTCCGCTTGGCAGCCGGCGTCAACACGCACCTGAGGCCTCCCAGTACTTCTCCTGGAAATTGCCCTGTCCATCGAAGAAACGTTCCCGGAGGATGTGCTTCCCCCGGTGCCAGTGAGCCCGCTCGTAGAAGTACTCGTGGAAGTTTCGGAAGAGCACCAGCTCCAGGCCATACTCGAAGGCCAGCGCCTGGAGCACATTGATCGGGATGAGGAACTCCGGCACATTGTCCACGGCATCTTCCAGGAAGTAGACGTAGCGCGAGGCAAAGGGGCCAAAATGCTCCGGGTCGTCGAGGGTGATCGAGAAGATGTCATTGCCAATCTTGGCTGTTCCTTTTTGGCGGGCATTTTTCCTGGACCCCGGAGGCGTGTTAGTCTTGGCCGTCGGGTGTTACCTTGCTTTCGCCCTGCGCTAACGGCCCCACAGCCCATCTCGTCGCACTCGTTGCCCCCCCCCCCCCCCCCCCCCCCTACAACACACACGTGCATGCGCATGTAAACGCATATATGCATCCCCCGCCCCTGCCCCTTCTCATGTGTGGCGAAAGGTGCATGACACATGGCGCGCGCAGTGTGCACTAGCCGATCCATCCACCCGGATGGCGACGCGACCAACCGATCGGCCTTTGCAAAAGGGGAAGGGAAGAAGGACGCACACAATCCAGTCGGCATTGGGGATGGTCCCGACAAAGTAGCCCCCAGGCTTCAGGCGTTGCGAGACGTTCTTCAGCATCTGCCGTGCCTTGGTCTCCGACTCCCAAGCATAGTGCAGGGCAAATTGGCAGTTGACCAGGTCAAAGTAGTGGTTCGGATTGTCGGCCTTCAGGAGCCCGGTGTCGACGAGGTCCACATTGAAGAGATCCACCACATGGAACTCATGCTCGAAGGGGGCCGGCGGGTCGGGGGAGGCCGGGCTGGCCGGGCCGCGCGGCTGCGAGCGCCAGCCCCGGCGGATGCCAGCCCGGCGCCGGGCCTCGTCCACGGCCCCGGCCGCGATGTCCACGCCGAAGAGATACCGGATGGAGGCGGCATGGAATTTGGGGATGTCCCCGCCCTTGCCGCAACACAGATCGAGCACTCGGGCCCCCGGGGCCGGCAGGAACTCCGAGATCAGCAGGCTCTTGATGAAGTTGTTCAGCGAACGCAGGGGCAGGATCTTGCTCTGCTGGCGGTCCTCGAAGCGCTCGGTGGCACGGCGATTGTAATTGGCCTCGACACTCATCATATTCCGCGGCTGAGAGGGGCCGCCATGATGGGCATGGTTGTGGTGATGGCCAGGGTGGTGGTGGCGGTAGTGGGGATGCTGCTGCTGCTGCTGCTGCTGCTGCTGCTGGGAATAGTGCGGGTGAGGGTGCTGAGGGTGGCGCTGGTACGGTTGCGGAGGGTGATGAGGACGGTGGTGGCCATGGGAGTGATGACTATGGGGAGGGCCCGGGCGCGGCTGCTGCTGGAAGTGCTGCGGATGGCCGAAGGGGGGGGGCGCAAAGGCCGGCGCGGCGAGCCCCGGGTGCTGGGGCGGGGCACCGGGTGCCGCACGCGGAGGGCCCTCGCTAAAGCGCGATACCTTGCGCGGAGGCTGCTGTTCCGGGGGCGGCCTGCGGTCGGATCCGCTGTCGGCCATGGCGCAGTGAATGGGGGGAGGAGGGAGAGGGAGAGAGAGAGAGAGGGGGGG